CCTCGAGGTTTTAGGTTTTCTTTCTGTATTCTCCCCTTGCCCAAACCCATGTTCTGAAATCAGTTTGGCTCTTTCGGTGATGTCTCCCGGTTTCTCTTCCCTGAATCCTTCTGCACCCCATGCTCTTCTCTATTTTTAAGGACTTCTGGAGATTTGAGATCCTTTCTGGAGTTTTGTGAGGACCCGCACCCCCGCCTTGCCCCTTGGTGATTCTCAGACATGCAGGCTACTCCTAGGATATTCAAACCTGCCCAGCAGGAAACTGCACTGCCAGTTACTGGGTATTGAGGACTTCCCCACATCCCGTCCACGATTCAAAGAGGGGGCCAAGTGTCATCCCCCCCACACACACACCACTTGAACAGTTCCTCAGAGGACAGGCAGTACCCGGTCTGGCTTTTGAACGGATGCACTTTGACCTTCCTTGGAAATGTCCTCTTCCCCTAGAGATGCAAAAATACCTCCAAGAGATGCAGAAGATTTAGCCTGCTCAGAAGCGGAACTGGGAGCCAAGCGAGAAGCTGGGATACCTCCTTTTCCTCTTCCAAATTCATGAGGCCTAGCATGTTGAGGCAGAAACATATGTCCTGCTGGTGGGCAGGAATGCCTCCTGGCAATGTAGTCTGCCTGGCCAGGTCGAAGGGATGCGCTCTGCCTCTCGGCTTCACAGATCATATTGCCAAGGCAATCTTTGCTTTCCTTACTCTAAATCGAGACAGTTTTTTAGATACATGTCTGTTCTTCAAAAGTAGTACACGAAGAAACTGAAACAAAAGTTCTTAAAAATTTTTGTCTCTTTTTTAATCTCTAAGGTTAGAGGTATAGTAAAAAGTCCTACTTGATTAGCTAACCTGGTCACGGTAATCATTATTTCCTTACCCCTTTTCAAGTTGTGTGTGTGTGTGTGTGTGTGTGTGTGCCTGTGCATGCATTGGAATATGTATGTATGCATGTTTGCACACAGGGCATATGTCCATATGTGTGTATGTATATATATGTATATATACATATGGACATATATTTACATATATAGTACAAATGTACATATCTATTTTAGTACACACAAATATAGGGACACAACTGGCAGACACTATTCTAAGTATTTTTCACATGTTGACTTGGTTTAATTCTCACAACTTACCCAAGAGGAAGACTAGGAAGGATTCCACTCCAACATGTTTTAGGATCGTGTGTTAGTATGGCTGTCACCTTGGAACAGTAGGACGAGGTATAATGGGGGTGTAATGGAAAGACCAGTGGCTCCTAAGTCAGAAGGCATGCTCCAAACTTTCTGAGTTTTCCATCTATGTGTCTCAGTTTACTGTACTTGAACTTGTGAATAATACCACCTTTGAACTTATCACAAGGCTGTGTCTTGAAAAGCAAATAAAATAATT